CACACTTAAGGCCAACAAACCAAAAATGCAAAGGGGCTATACTAAGCATGCCAAAGTCGACCCAAACAACTAAGGACAGACCTCAAACATAGCAAAATAAGCACAAACGCTTCACAAAGCCAAGCCTAAAACATGCTAGAACAATGGTTTATAACCTAAGGCATGTTAAGGCAACAAAGTGGCATTACATCGAATACAAGATTGTTACCATGAAAGCTATGTATCTCAAGTGAACTCAGCAACTCCAAATCAAGAGCAATTGGATACTTGAATCCATGAAAAACGAAGACCTAGATCAGTAAATATTAAGGGAAATCGAAAAATCTCGAAGGAAAAAATCAAATCCTAAGACCTAGTGCACAAATCGAAATAGAGATCCAGATTGAACAAGAAACCGTTGAGATTAGAAGCATCAATCTCTCTATAGATCTATAAACTCCAGGAAGTCTTCATTGTTGGTTGCATCCACGGCTTCTTAGGGCTAATGAGAGAGAACCATTTTAGAGAGAGAGAGAGAGAGAGAGAGAGAGAGAGCCATTTGGAAATGTTTGAATAGACATGGGGATTAAGTCTCTGTGGAGTTAAATAGACTTATGTCATTGAGACCATCAAAGGGCATCTTATTAATTAGAGGCCCATTTGTTTGCCACTATAGCAATTTAGAATGGGCTAACAATGATGAACAATAATCATATATCATGTTTGTTTTGTTTATGGTGCTCCGGATTGGTAGTCCGTTCGGATTGTGAAAGGCCTTGGGCGAGCGGATTGTTAGTCTGGACAAGAATGTGGTATTAGAAAATAGTCCTTGCGGCTTAGAGTGTTACCGGTCGTCCGTCTAGATGTTCGGTCGATTGTCCAGCTGGTCAACCAGTCAACTGCAAAAAAAAATTTAAAATTACATGTTGGGCATTTTTTTTGAATTGTGATGGCTGAGTATGTCATTCGTCTCATTCTTCTTTTCTAACCTGGGGTTTGCCTTATTAGGGTGTCGGGTTTAACTGAGAGTCTTGTTAGCGATTCGTTTTGTTGTATTTGGAAATTTGTTTCAAGTCTTTGTTTTCATTTATTTCTGTGTCGAGTTACTCATGTTCAGAAGGTGCGAGGTTGGGGTCCGGAGTGGCTCAGGTTGAGCTGTAGAGTTTCCTGGCTAGAAGGGGCAGAGCCGCACGTGCGAGGCCTTGGGCCGCACGTGCCGGAAACAGGGGAAATTCTAGGTTGCCTTCTGCATAAAAGGCACATGTGGAAGGAGGTGCGGAGGAGACACCACGCGTGCGGGGGTGAGTGCCGCATGTGTAGGAGGCACACTCCACATGTGCGGGAGACACTGAGTCTGAAAATCTACTTTTTCTTTTCTTCTGTGTGTGTATCACTTTTTACATCTCTCTCTCTCTCACTCTCAAAACCATATCCTCATTCTTCTCTCTACATTTCCTATACCAAATCTCTCAAAACTCTTGGTCTCTTGCAAACCATTGGGGTTTTGACCCAACATCCTTCAGAAATATTGGAGAACTAAGCAAGGGCTACATTATGTGCAGTGGAGATTGGGTTTTGGCACCGTTGATTTTGAGGGTTTCTCATATTTTCTTCTCGAAACTTGAGGTAGGGATTTTCCTAGAGCTATATATATATATATTTTTGCAAGTTTATGTTAATTTCGAGATTTACCTTGGTGGCATTGAAAATTTGGTTTTTGGCTCAAGAATGTTGGTGGTTTTGAAAATGGGTTCATCCCTTACTTTTCTTTAAATGATTTTCTTGAGGGGTTGAATCACATTGATTTAAGAAGAAATGTTTTTTGTGAGATTCTACCAAGAGATGAGGAAATGTCTTGTTTTGATAAAAAAACCTAGAAATTTGGGGGTTTTGGAGAATGTTGAGAATCTATGGGTTTTCTTGTGCCAAATAAATGAATAAGTGGAAATTTATTATCATTATATACAAAATGACAATTTTCTTGGTACATGAGAATTGGTAGATTTTCTTTTGGAATTTATTGTTTAAGTGAACATGTATATAGTCATGAAATGACAAATTGTTGATAACACATGAGATGTGGAAAGGTTGTTACACTCGGATAGATATAAAAATTCATATGTGATAGATGTTGGAAATGCATTGGAAATTTTGATCACAAATGGAACATTTGTGTGGAAGTTTTGCAAATGGTAGGATTTTGTATCGCATGGATAATTATTACATGGCATGGCTAATTATTGCATAGCATGGATAATTTTTGCATTGGCACTTCAATATCTTGCTTGCTATAAATATTGAATTGGAGTTTGAAACTTTGCATTGAGAAAGAAATATTGTGAAATGAGATTTATTGAAATGTTTTGGGGTAAATACATTGGTAAGTCTAGATAGGAGGTGTAGATGAAATTGATTAAGTTGGCCTAAGTGTCCGAGGTGAAAGATCGAAAACACGTACAGAGGAGTTACCACGTGCCTTCCGATTAGCTACTGGTAAAGTGGGGTTTTGGTAGTGCTAGTTATGTCTACTTGCAGACACCAACCTAGAGATTACCTGAGTCGTATTTACCGTCCCCTTGAATTAAATTGATAATTTTTGAATTGTTGGGATTTCAAGTTATCATTAAGCATGATGGTTTTTCAAAAGGTAAAAATGTGATTTTTCTTCAAAAGGCATAGCATGGCATGTGCATTTCATTTAGTGAAACTTGTATAAAATGCATATACTTTGTTAATAATTTCCTACTGGGCTCTATGCTCACCCTATGAGATTTTGGTGTAGGAAAGGACATGGTGGTTCCGCCAAATTAGGGCGTCGACGTATTTGTTGAGAGCATATGGCTCTTCTTTTGTTGTGGTGTATTTTGCTAGCCAAGGGCTATAATTGTATGGGTCTGAGAGACCATTTTTGTGTAACCGGGCTTAAGCCTTGGAATTTGTAAGCCCTTGAGGGCATGTGTTTATTTTTGGATTTGATGTTCTACATGCTATAGATTCATGTACTCGAAATCATTAAATGTATAATTCGCATGTGGAACTATTTTGTACAAACTCTAATTGATCAAATGATGTAAAGATTGAAGAATTATATCTTTTCTTAAAATGAACGTTGGTTGATGTACTTATATGATGTTATAAATTTTGGGGCGTTACATGAACATTAATGTTTAATGTTTTTGTATTTTTTGTTAAGTGAAAATCATAATTTTATTTGTTTTATTATTTTATATAAAAATAATTTAAAAATTTCAACACTAATAACTACCATAAAAACAAATACAATTTTACTAATATCCTCACTATCAATTCCCTCATTAACAATCCCCTCACTATTAATTCTCTCACTATCAATCTCTTCTATTCTACCTTTGAAAACAAACGAGTAATAGGTGATATCATGCTTCAAAAAGCGCGTTTGCCATAGAGATATATCACAACGTTTTTGAAAGCGCCTTGATACAAGCGCCATCATAAGCAACTTTTTTTGTAGTGTATGTTAAGATTGTAGATATAGTTGTGCCAACAAAATTATTGCACAATTGGGTGAAAAATTGTTTAATAAAAATTTAAGCACTAAACTAAAATAAATTATTTGATATGTACAAGATCAAATTTGAAATTTTTTATTTTCAAATTGTATCTTTTAATTTTTATTTTGTGATAGTGATTTGGTGGTAGTGGAGGCAGCGTCAACGTTAGCTATGGCGCTAATGGCAGTGGTAGTCCAGATTAAGAGATGGTGGTTATAGTGATGGTTGAAGGGTAACTGCAAACGAGCCGACCCGAGCTTTGGTATGTTTGTGCTTGTTTATTAAGATAACGAGTTCGAACTTGAGCTCAAGCTCAATAAAAATTTAACGAACCGAACTCAAGCCGAGTTAGCTTAGGCTTGACTCGAGTTGAACCTGTTCACGAGCCTTAACGAGTCAAAAAATTTATGGATTCATACTTGTGTATGAGACTAAAGTTATAATAAAAACTTTGATTATACAATTATATATACAATATATATAAACATACTAAAAAAAAAAGTCAATATTTTTTGCCAAAATAATATTATCTACCACCACTATTATGTAAATGTATTAACTATAGTTAACAATTATTTACATTTATATTTTTTTAAATATAAAAATAACATATTTATCTTATTTTTTATACATATTTTTACATTATTTAATATATAAATAATAAATATTAAACGAGCAAGCTAACAAGCCAAGCTTTAGTATGTTTGGGTTTGTTTATTAAAAATTTAATGAGCTCGAGCTCTAACACAAAAAAAAATTAATGAACCGAGTTCGAACGAGCTCTTACCGAGCCGAACTTGAGTTTGTTCACAAACGACTCTATTCATTTTCATCCCTATAGAGACTTAAAAAAAAAAGGTGGCGAGAGTGGTGTAATGATGGTAGTGGTACTGGCAATGATTGTGGAGGTAAAGGGTGTGGTAGTACTAGTAATGGTAGTGACGACTGTGGTTGCTTTAGTAAAATGAAGATGGTAGTTATGATAACAATAACAATGATGATGAAAGTTTTGGTAATAATAGTAACAGTGGTGGTGGCAGTGGCAATAGTGACTGAGGTGGTGGTGATGATGGTGGTAGTGATTTTATATTAGTGTTATGTTAATATTTATGTTTAGTATTTATAAATTCAGTCAAAATTAAGTAAATTTATATTATTTAATTTTTTTAAACTTTTAGCCTACATTTTAAAAGGTAGTTAAATTTTTAAGTGATCACAATTGTGACTATAAAATGGGATTAACTGATTATCATTTAATACATTTAGTTTTAAGTGCTGAGTTAAGTATCAAACATCACTTAAGTTGACTATTTACACAAAAACAATATATAGAGGTTGCGAAAAGCAAAAACATACAAAATAAACAATCCAAGTATTACATATAAATTCAATCATAATTAAGTAAATTTCATTTTACTTATTTTTTTAAAACTTTTAGCCTACATTTTAACAGGTATTAAATTTTTAAGTGATCACAATTGTGGCTATCAAATGGGATTAATTGATTATTCTTTAATACATTCAGTTGTAAGTGCTGAGTTAAGCATCAAACACCACTTAAGTTGACTACTTACACAAAAACGATATATAAAGGTCGTGAAAAAGTACAACACATACAAAATAAACAATCCAAGTATTACATAATTACTACATGCTACTGATGCATCTAGCTGACTTTTTTGAGTGTTGTGATTGACCAGATACCAAAGTCTATATTCTCTTCTTTCAACTCCTTCCACAATTTGCAAGATACCAAAGTTTAATTTTTTTGAGTGTTGCGAGAATATCTTTCATGTTGATTCTGTCATTAGGTGATTCTACAGAGCAACTCAAAGCCAATTCCATAATGGATGATACGCATTGCAATACAACTACTTTGAGATATTCTTCTTCTGGCTTAAGCAAGTTAGCATCTATAACCTGAGAGATTGCATTTGGTAGTGACTCCTTCATCCAACGTTTTATCGTCATGTCTTCAGAAAACATTTCATCAATGGGCTTCACTCTTGTGAATGTTTCCATAAGCAAGATTCCATAACTATAAACATCACAACTCGTAGATACTAATCCTTCCAATCCAAACTCTACATACAATCAAAATAAATGGCATGTTGTCAAGAAAATTATAGAATTTTGGAGATGGCGAGTTACTATATGTTGGTGGTTGGATTCGTGGTGTGCTAGAGGGGTAGGGGTGGTGAGGGGTATGCAATAGTGATAAGTGCTAGATAGATGAGTTGTTTTGGGAAAGAGAGGGTGTATAATGGTGGTTATGTGGTAAAAAAAATAATTTTCTTATTTGGTATTATTGTCAAATTTGACAAATAAAAAATATAATGTGTAAAGGTAAAAAAGTAATTTACTTATTAAAGTTAACATCGTCATTTTTTTTTTATGGAAAATGATGTATAAGTCAACTTTTTAGACCCATTTTCTAGACCCAATGATGTGTCAAGAAAATGATTGGTTAATAATTAGAACATATGTAATTATCAACCAATCTGGGTCTAACTTTTGAGCCTGAATAACAATGCTCTTTTTTTATTATTGAAAGAAAGAAGGTCAATATAATTATGTTGAAACTATGAAATTTACTGTATTTTTCTTATTATTCAATGGAGATCAGTGTAGTTTACCCTTTAAAGAATCAACCTGTTATCAACAAAATCATAAGCATTTCTATGGAAATTATATTTAAAAGTTTGTGTTATAATATGAAAAGTGCATATCTGTATGTATAGATTGGAAACATATATAGAAAACCCCAAAAAAAATGCAAAAATATAAATTGAAAAATGAAAGTCACCTGGTGCAATATACCCAAATGTTGCTATGGTCTTTGTATGTATGACACTCTCCCCCAGATCTAAAAACTTTGCAATGCCAAAATCACTCACATGCGCAACCATATCATCATCTAGTAGGATGTTGCTGGGTTTCAAATCGCAGTGAACCAAAGGCATTGAATAATCATGGTGAAGATACTCCAATGCGGATGCAACATCTATCATTATGTCTAATCTCTGCAACATATCTAAGAAATAGTTGTAAGAATACAACCACTTTTCAAGACTCCCATTAGGCATATACTCGAGTACTACAGCTTTGAAATCAAGGTTTGAACAGGTGCTAATGACCTTAGTAAGATTGCGATGACGAAGGCGTCGCATTATCTAGCATTCTATGTCAAAACTCTTGAATGCACCTTCTACTTGCAAGTTAAATACCTTTATGGCCACAATTGTGGTATCTTCAAGGATAGCTTTGTAGACTGAACCAAAACTTCCCGAACCAAGTAAATTGCCCTCACTAAACCTGTTAGTTGCTCGAAAAAGCTGTTGGTATGTGATTCTTGGAGGTGTTATTGCTGGTAAGAGATCAACATTGGTTGGAGTTTTATTTCCTCTTCGACATGTAATGAACAAGAACACAAAGGACATAGCAAGTAGTATGGACACAATAGGTAAACAAATATATAAAGCTAGAATCAATCTTCCAGTCAAATGATGAAGGGAACTAGTATGGCATGTCGGGACTTGAAACTTTGGTGCACCGCATAATGCTTCATTCGACATAAAAGATTGGATTGTAAAGTTTGCAAAAGGTCCCCCATTTGGAATTTGTCCGCTTAACCTATTGAAGGAAACGTTGAAATATGAAAGATGAGACAATGTCTCTAAGGACTTGGGGATTACATCAGAGAGGTCATTATATGATAGATCTAAGAATTCCAAGCTCACCATGCTGCCAAATGAGTCAGGTATAGGTCCTTGTAACTTATTGTGCGCCAATGAAAGCTTAACCAAGTTTTGTAAACTTGTAATTGTACTTGGGATTTTTCCTGTAAACTGATTCATGGAAAAATCTACGAGTGTTACAACCTTCAAACTCCCAAATTGTGGTGGCAGATAGCCATTTAAAGAATTTGACGATAAGTTGATTTCCAAGAGATCTTTAAGACTCCACAAGCTTGTGGGGATGATAGAAGTTAGTTTGTTGGAATCAAGGTAGATATACCTTAGAGATGTAATATTCCCCAAACATTCTGGAATTAATCCATAAAGTTCATTTTGGTTCAATCGCAAATCACCCAAGTTCCTCAAATGGCATAATAGATCATTTGGAATGGAGCCCTGTAGTTTATTATTGAAAAGATACAACCTTTGAAGCTTCCCTAACTGTCTGATTGTTGATGGAATAAATCCAGTGAAACCATTTTGTGCCAGATTCAAGAATGCCAAATTGCTTAAATTACCAATTTCACTAGGAATGTTGCCTCTGATTCCACAAGAATCTATATAAATGGCCTCGAGTGAGGCAAAGAGATTTCCGATGGTTGTCGGAAGAATGCCATCTAGAGGATTTGAACTTATATGCAATCTTTGTAGATATCTGCAATTTACTAAGGAAGTGAGGAAGCTCAATTCTGGAGAGGAAGAAGATGGCCCACTTGTCAAAATGTTTCCATCCAATTTCAAAGTATCGAGTAGTTGTAAATTGCCAAGTGATTTTGGAATCGGACCCGTAAATGCATTGGCACTTAGGCCTAAACTAACGAGTTGAGAAGCATTTGAGATTGACTCTGGAATAATTCCAGTGAGTCTATTTCCTCCAAGGAAGATGCCATAAATATTGGGTAGCCAAAGCCCTATACTTGATGGAAGATTGCCTGACAAGTTATTTACCACAAGCGACATCATCTTAAGTGACGAGATATTAAACATTGATGTAGGAATGACACCCATTAAGTTGTTAAAAGAAAGTTGTAGAAACTTCATATCTAGAAGCTCACCAATCTCCTCCGGTATTAGACCTGTCATAATGCAAAAATATAGAAACTTAAAAAAAACAATGGAAACCATTTAAATTTTTCAATTGAATTACATGGTAAGATGTTATTTGCTTGTCATTATTTTTTTAATAATTATTTTCAAACAAAGAAACTAATCATAAATTTTCGTACAGAAAGTGATACAAAAGAGTAACAAAAAAATTAGGTAATATATTGCATTTGTAAAAAAATTTGAACATGTGGTTTACTACTCTTTCTATTCCTAAACTATCGTCAAATTGTCTACTTATTCACTAAACTATCGATTGAATCTATTTAGTTTCTAAAATATATAAATTAAAGTCTGTTTAGTCTTTAAACTATCGATTGAATCGATTAAGTCCCTAAAGTATTTAATTCAAACTTCTTTAGTTTCTGAAAAGATTACAAAAGTAAAATATAAACTCATAATATTACAAATTAGTAAATGACCCTATCTAGTTAAAATTTTATTTAAAAAAAAAAAAACCTTAAATTTTTATACTGTTTTCGAAAAATAGGCGCAATTTCTTGTAGTGAATTTTCTTTATCTATAGTATTTTCTTACTTGTCTTGTAGAATGACTATTTATTTGTCTTTATCTAGTATTATATACCGGATTTCATTTATAATTTATAATTGATTGTTTTTAATTTTTTCAATAAATTATTTTTATAACTTAATTAATGTGTTATCTTATTCTATTATAATTTGTAGCGAAGTGTTATTATTTAAATTATCTAATTCTACTTTTTCAGTATTTTTAATACTCATATAATTTTATTGGCAAAATTAAAAAACTAGACTTTGATAGTAATTTAAACATATATCGAAATAAAACATTTTTGTAAAGACAATAGAAATTTTAAAATTTTCTGAAATAAAATCTTAACTTGGCATGGTCTTTTACTAATTTATAATACTTATAGGCATGTATTTTATTTTGTGATCCTTTCAAAGACTAAATAAGTATGAATTAAATATTTTAGGGACTTAATAGATTCAATAGATAGTTTATGAACTAAATAGAATTTAATTTACATACTTTATGGACTAAATTGACTCAATCGATAGTTTATGGATTAAATAAATAATTTGACGATAGTTTAAGGGTAGAAAGTGTAATAAACCCTTAAACATATTTTAAAAATTCTTAATTAAAATAACCTTATAAAATGATTTTTTTTATATTTTTATTTAAATACAGCCAATAAAAAAATCAATAGTGCATTAATGAAAGGTGGTATTTTCGCAAACCCAACCAAACGGCTCCGTATGAATTCACCGCAGGCACAACAACATTCCTATATCTGCATTTGGACTACGGATTTGGAAAAGGAAAAAGAAAATGAAATTAAAAAAAAAAGAAAAATATAAGGATAACATAAATAAAATATCGGTCGTATTACATGTACTAATTAGTATACCAATTAGTGTACCAATATATGCTATGGCATTACTATTTTTGAAAATTATAACCCTACTTATTATATAAATTACAAAGACCCAAAACCTCTAAAATTATGTCATATCATCCGTTAGTATAGTAATTGAGATATCAATTGATGCATATATCATTATTCATAAAATATAAGTATTATTTTTGTTTGCTTTTTCTTAATTTCTTTCCAAATTCATTATCCAAAAGAAAGTTACTGCACAAAATTTCTCGGGGAAAAAAAAAAAAAAAGTTACTGCACAAAAATCTTCACAGGAAAGCTTCTAATAAAAAAATCTTTGCGTTTGGTAGAGCTTTGTAACTATGATTTGAGAGTATGAGTTGTATTTTGAGTTTGTGAGGTTTGGAATTATGATTTGAGTGTGGAAAATTTATTTGGTGAAAGAGTTTTGAAAAGAGTTTTGAATTGAGTGGGGAACTTTTGATGTGACATTTGATATTTGATACAAAAATTTACAACTCATAACCAAACATACAACTCAAAATTATTTTAAAGCACCTTAAAAAATTTTAAAAATTCAGAAAATATATAAAAATTAACATATCAATTGCAAAAAAAAAAAAAAAAAATCACTATTCCGGTCAACCGGCCGGACGACCGGTTAGACCAAATTTTGAAAAAAAAAAATTTGAAAATCACGCTCTGTTTGACAGAGTTCTGTGTAGAGTTGTGAAAAATTAATTCCACAACTCTATCCAAACATCATACTCAAACTACCAAGTGGAAAACTAGTTTGAAAATGGTTCCAAACAGAGATGTTTGGTGTGATAAGATTAATGCCCATTTCTTTCCCAAAGTGAGCAACTAAAGTTTGAGAGATAGATGGGTTACCAGTCAAGTCATTAGTAGCAAGATCCAATACCGAGAGTAAGGTACAGTTGCCAATTGTTCTTGGAATATTTCCTGTCAATTTATTCGTCCACAGATAAAGCTCTTTCAATGAAGAGATGTTAAAGATAGAAGATGGGATGACACCAGTGAGGGTGGCATCCTCTATGGCTAAGATCTCCAAACTCTGTAGACTACCCAACTCTCGTGGAATTTCACCTGCACAATTATAAATAATTTATGAATTGTACCTACCGAGTGTTGTGGTTGTGAAGTATCAACATGTACATACATTTAAACAAAGCTGCTTTTCAAATGGGCAGGCAGGAATATCATGTAGGTTGCACATTTGTATAGGCAAAAATTCTGGTAATTTTTTTTTTTCAATGTTTTTTTTGAATCTTGAATTTGATAAAAATAAAGAAAAATTTCATCAATTTTTATGGATAACCAAAAAAAAAAAAAAAAAAGCCATTTTCTTATTATTTTTGTAAGGAAACCAAAAGATAGAAATAAATTTAATTGTATTGTACTAACCCCAAATAAAAATTTAGAGTCAATTGTTTGAATCAATCAAAATTTGTAATTGGGATCGGCGAAATGGATTTGTTACAAAAATAAAAAAGCTTTTGTTTTATCTAATTTCTCTTTCCTTTCTTTTTCGTCCACTAATCTCTTCATTACTTTAAGATCCAAATATACTCTTAGGTGGTGTTTGATAAAACTGAAAACTAAAAATTAAGCGTTGAAAACTGAATACTTTATTTTTTAAGGTAAATTACCAATAAGTCCTAATATTGGACTTAATTCTCATCAAGTCTTATTCAAAATAAATCTTAGTAAAATTATCACTAAAAATAATTTTGTGACGATTTTTTTAAACATGTTACTAAAAATTGACAATTAGTGACCTTTTTTGTCACAATTTCTATAAATTATTGCTAAAACTTATAATTAGTGATTTTTTATGTGATGAATTTTTTGAACTGCTGAAAATTAAAAATTAGCGACTTTTTGTATTTTTTTTTTAAACTGTCAATAAAGTTCATAATTAGTGATTTTTTTGTGACAATTTTCAAATTGTCTCCTAAAATTAACAATTAATAACTTTTTTAATAATATTTGATAAAAAAAATGCCGTTAATTATCACAAGACCTACCGGGCAATAGGTCCACCTATTAGGACCTACATTTAATTCCTTCAATTTTTTAAGCCGAAAAGTTGTTTCATAAAAATTTAAGTGTTGAATAAAAAATAAATTGTTTGATACGTATAAGATCAAATTTGAGATTTATTATTTTCAAATTATATATTTCAATTTTTATATTGTGGTGCTAGTGGTGCTAGTGATAGTGGTGAGGGTAGGGGTGGTAGCGATGGCAATAGTAGTAGTGGTAAATGATGGTTGTGCTGACGACAACAATAATAATGGAGATGAAAGTGGTGTTAGGAGTGGTGGTGGTGGCAGTGGTAGTGGTGGTGGTGGTGGTGATGGCAGTGGTGACATGATGGTGGTGGTGGTAGTAGTGGTGGAGGTGGTGGTGGTGGTAACGGCATGGTTGTAGTGGTGTTGGTGGTAGTGGTAGTGATGTTAGTGGTGATGGTGGTAGTAATAATAGTGGCAGTGGCAGTGGTAGCATGATGGTGATGGTAGCGGTAGTGGTGGTGGTGGTGGTGGTGGTGAGTTTATAATAGTGTATATCGATATTTATATTTAGTTTTTATAAATTCAATCATAATTAAATAAGTTTAATGACTTAAAATTTTCTTAAGTTTTAGCCTTCATTTTAATAGGCACTAAAAGTTTTAAGTAATATCGATTGTGGTTATCAAACAAGTTCAATTGATTATCATTCAATACATTCAGTTTTAAATGTCAAATCAACTTATCAAACACACTCAGTGTTTTTCAAATGGGCAAATTACATATACACCCCTCGAGGTTTGGCTAAATTACAGATGCCCCCCTGAGGTTTGAGAAATTACGAATTCCCCCCTGAATGCTATATTTGCATAAGAAATTAGGGGGTAATTTGTTATGAAATATAAACCTCAGGGGGCAAATTGTTATGAAAATACAAACCTCAGGGGGCGGGATGTAATTTACGAAACCTCAGGGGGTATTTGTAATTTAGCTAAACCTCGAGGGGTGTATATGTAATTTGCCCTTTTCAAATCAATAATTCTATAAGAAATGTATTTATTTACCATGTTTTGTTTATATCTTTAGTGTCGTTGTACTGTTAATATATATGAGTAGTAAAGCTCATTACACCAACAAAATCTGATAGACGTCATCTTCAAGAGCAGAAAGGTATACACATAAAAAAAAATAATAACAAATCACTTTGCTTGGTTCCCATTTTTTAAAAATAATTTTCAGAAAATTCTACACTCTTATTTTTCGTATTTTTTTATTTTTACTGAATTTTTTTAATATTTTATGCAAATTTTTTACTTTTTATACACACCTAACATAAATACACCTAAAAAGTAAAAAAATTGTAAAAAAAATCTTTTAAAAATTCATTAAATACCAAAAATACAAAAAAAAAAATACAAGAATTTAGTACATTTTTTGTATTTTTATGTATTTCTTAATTTTTTAAAATATTTTTTCACAATTTTTTTACTTTTTAGACACATCTAAGTAAGGTGCATCTAAAAAAGTAAAAAAAATGTTTAAAATTTTAAAAATTTAAAAATATTCACTAAAAACAAAAAAACACGAAAATCAAAAAACTCAGTTTTCAAAAAACTTAATCTAGAAAACTCAAACCAAACACAGTGAATAAATTTGAGTTAATTTTGGTAAATTATTAATTGAAAATAAATTTTTATGTAAGCATTGTGAAAAAAGTAGGGAAATTTACGTGTAGATAGTAATAGTTGGATTTATTGTGTAATAGGTCCTATGATAATTAATAATATTTTTTATCAATCACTATTAAAAAATGTTAATAATTGTTAATTTTCAGCGACAGTTTGAAAATTTTGTCACAAAAAATATCATTAATTATAAGTTTTAGCAATAGTTTAAAAAAATCATCACAAAAAATGTCACTAATTTTCAACTTTCAACGACAATTTGAAAAATTAGTCACAAAAAAACGTCATTAATTGTAAGTTTTAGCAACAATTTATAAAAATCGTAAAAAAAAAAGTTACTAATTACCAATTTTTAGCGACACATATAACTTAATAGTAAAATTATTTTTATTGACAATTTTACAATGACTAATTTTCAATAGGACTTAATAGAAATTAAGTCAAACTATTAAAACTTTACCCAAAATAGTATTTATTGAAAGCAACACTTTTTGTTTTTTGTTTTTTTTATCAACAAAAAGAAAACTTTATTTATTGAAAACTTTAAAAGCCATTTTGGCTTTTTGATTTTTTTGATTCACATTACCTTTCTACTTTTTTACAAGATTTTTTTAAAAAAAAAAAACTAAAAACTAAAAAATTGACTTTTAACATATTTCTCAAAATATCCGAATCAAGTTGAGGGTTTAATACATGAGCATTTTGATTTATTAACTAACAATATATAACAAGTGTCTTGGGGAGAAGTATTTCATGAAGAAAAAGTAAATAAAGAGTAAATTACAGCGCAGTGATTCTCTTATAAAATAACTATAAATTTATGATAAAACTTATGAATTTAATTTTTAATATACATAAACTTTATCACTTATCTAAAATTATTTTTAAAAATATACCATAAATAGTAATTGTCCCAAAAATAAATAATTTTACAAGTCTTTTTCTTTTTTTAAATTTTGTTTTTGTACTATTAAGTGGATCTCATCATATAATTGATTAGACCATTATTTTAAGCATTTTGTTAGTTGATAAAATCTACTCATCAAAAACTTAATGTATCATTTGATTTTTAAAATTAAAAAAGAAAAAAGAAAAAGAAAGAAGTAACATGTACTACTTATATTAATAAAATTAACTTGATAAAATTGATATTATTAACTAAGATGTGAGAAAACAGGAAATCAACTAATTATACATTGCAAATAATAATGAAATAGAAAGTTAATAAGTGGCTGTTAATAAGTAGATCTCATCTTATGTTCATGTTATAAGTGGCTTCTTCTCTTTTCTTTTTTTTTTTTTTTTTGAATGAGTTATAACTGGCTGTTTGGGAAGTGCTTTTTCTGAATTTTTCAGTTTTTAGTGACAAATTTTTAAAACTGTCACTAATAAATACACTTTTAGGGAGAAAATAATCTGGTCTCCAAAGAGTTTATTTTTTGAGAAAAAAAATTTGGTCTCAAAAGGATAATAATTCATCACTAATATCTAATTCTCATTACTAAAAATATAATAACTAAAAATATGATAACTATACTTTTTGCAACAAAAATATTTGGTCTCTAAAAAATAATTTTGACCCTAAATTTTGGTCTCTAAAATTTTAATTTTTTGTACTGTTAGCCCGTTCAAACCAATATGGCCTAAGAAGATTTGAGAATAGAAAATTATTCAGTCACAAGATAGTGGCAGATATGTTTTAATTTTATTTAGGGTAAATTGCACTCACTTTTACTAAAATGTCATTTTAGTCTTTTTACTTTCAATTATAACAGTCAATCATTTATATTTTAAGTTAAGTTACAATTTTACCCTTCTATTCATCTATCATTAATCAAACATACGTGGCATTTTTGCTGTCTCATTAGCACTGTTACATTTTTATTAAAATTTCACTTTAATCCTCACACTTCTACTAAAATCTCACTTTAATCACTTCACTTTCGGGTTCCGTTAGCTTTGTTAACGATAGATGAATGAAAGATAAAACTAGAACTTGATTTAAATGTATATTGATTCACTACAAGAAAAGAGGGAGATTCTAAAAAAATGAAAGGAGTTTTGTCAAAC